GCTTGCCAATTTTAACAATGAAATTTAACGTAATAAAGGCGTGGTTTTTTTAGAGAGAAAATATCGCATTCGAGTGCACTTTCGATGTCAGTATCGAATGCGATGTTTTCTCTCTAAGAAAACCACGCCTTTATTACGTTGAATTTCATTGTTAAAATTGGCAAGCAAGTGCTTTAGTCTCCTGACAACAGAATTGCGATCTCAAAATTGGAGAAAAATGACGAGTAGCTGAAAAAATGGAACCGATTGATGCGATATATCGCATGCCATTCTCACTCAAAATATGGCATCCATCGAATCACCTTAAGTTGATTTTACCTAAAATCGCCTGAATGATGACAGCGGCGATGATCAGCGTTGAGGAAGAATGAGGGGCTTGTAGGACAAAGCGCGTAAGTGCAGTTTTTGCAATCTGGAGAAATATGTGTTTGAAGTCTCAAAATTACACGGATATCCTTATGGCGGAAAGAAAGTTCAAACTGACTTTTTGAAGCTTACAAATTGAAATTTGAGAGGGAATTTTATACAAAATATGCACTAAGACTAGTTTTACTTGAAATCATTATCGAGAAATATGTATTTGAAGTCTCAAAATTACACGGATCCTTATGGCGGAAAGAAAGTTCAAATTTACTTTTTGAAGCTTAAAAATTGAAATTTGAGAGGGAATTTTTCACAAAATATGCACTTAGACTAGTATTACTTGAAATCATTAAAATCTCAACTTTTTCAAAAACTGCACTTATGCGCCTTGTCCTCCAAGCCCCTCAATTTTTTAGCAGCCCATTTCAAAAATTGAAATTATTGACAGTAACCGATTCATTAGAAGTTGAGGTGATTCATTGAACGCCATATTTTGTGCCAGAACGACTTGCGAAATATCACGTCGATTGGTTTCATTTTTTCAGCTACTCGTCATTTTTCTCGAATTTTGAGATCGCAATTCTGTTGTCAGGAGACTAAAGAATTCACCTACCAAATTTTGACAAACAAATTCATCGTAATGAAGTCGTGGGCTTTTTTTATGAGACAAAATATCCCATTCGAATGCAGTATTTTTCCTCTATTTTCCTCACGCCTTTAATACTTTGAATTTGTTCATCAAAATTGACAAGTGAATTTAGTCTCCTGACAATAGAATTGCGATCTCAAAATTCGAGAAAAATGACGAGTTGCCGGAAAAATGGAACTAATCGATGCTATATATCGCATCCCGTTCTGTCACAAAATATGGCGTTCATCGAATCACCTTAATTTTCGAAATAGGAGGAAGCTTGAGAGATCTTACCGTGAAGAAGCGATGATCTGCAAGGTCAGGAACAGCTCTGATGCGTAGGGTGAAGATTTCCATCCTCTTCATCGCCTTCTCGAATGTTGGCTGCAAAAAAAAAAAATTAAACCCTTTTAGAGATAAATTCAACGTAGCGCATTGTTGCACATTGTCTAGTATATGGAACAGCTTAACAAATAAATTGAAATAATGTTGAAAAATAATGGAATAAAACTGCTTTTTTTACCACAAAATTACAATATTCTCACATAATGTATTCAATAATAATCAATTTTCAACGATTAAACATTTTCATATCGACTACTTAAGGAGATTTGATGGACGCCATATTTAGTGTCAGAAAGGCATGCGATATATCGCATCCACTGGTTCCATTTTTTTAGTTACTCGTCATTTTTCTCCAATTTTGAGATCGCAATTCTGTTTTCAGGAGACTAAAGCACTCGCTTACCAATTTTTACAAAGAAATTCAACGTAATAAAGACGTGGTTTTTTTAGAGAGAAATCATCACATTCGATACTGATATCGTAACTGCACTCGAATGCGATATTTTCTCTCTAAAAAAAAACCGCGTCTTTCTTACGTTGAATTTCTTTGTAAAAATTGGTAAGTGAGTGCTTCAGTTTCCTGACAACAGAATTGCGATCTCAATATTAGAGAAAAATGACGAGTGGCTGAAATAAGGGAACCAATTGATGCGATATATCGCATAAATTGGTTCCATTTTTTCAGCTACTTGTCATTTTCTTCGAATTTTGAGATCGCAATTCTGTTGTCAGGAGACTAAAGCACTCACTTACCAATTTTTACAAAGAAATTCAACGTAAGAAAGACGCGGTTTTTTTAGAGAGAAATCATCACATTCGATACTGATATCGAAACTGCACTCGAATGCGATATTTTCTCTCTAAAAAAACCACGTCTTTATTACGCTTTAGTCTCCTGACTACAGAATTGCAATCTCAAAATTCAAAAAAAATGACGTGTAGCTGAAAAAATGGAACCAATTGATGCGATAGATCGCATGCCGTTCTGACACAAAATATGGAATCACCTAAAAGCGAGTGAATTACCTAATCAACACTAAAGAGTATATACGTATGAGCATAATGATATCCTCAGACCAAATATCCTGTAAGTGTTACGGTAAAAAAGGCTCTCATGTAATGACAGCAAACACGAGTGGAAAAATATTAGCTCCACCGATTGTGAGGAAAATCTCGAGAAAATTGCCCACAGGGACTCAAATTAGATATCTATAACCAAAGTGCGAAACCACATATCTTAGTCTGCGACGTCGCAGACCTCTCATCATACTTCATTTTTTCTTCGTAAAAGTGGTGAACTTATTCCCTGAAAACTCTTCTCGGTTAGTAGAATATTCTGCATAAATTTCAAGCCATACAGTTGACTTATTTTTCCTCGAAAAACTAAAATAGTAGCAGAAATTTTAATGGTGATACGCGGTTTCGCACTTTAGCCATCAATTTATACATTATTTTTATTATTTTTTTTTATCATTTTTTTTTATTTTATTTAAAAAAAAAAAAAAAAAAAAAAAAAAAAAAAAAAAAAAAAAAAAAAAAAAAAAAAAAAAAAAAAAAAAAACATTTTAGTGATGGCATCGAACAACTTACCGAATCAACGCTGAGGAATATATGATGAGCAAAATCACTTCCAAAACGATATCCACAAACCAGATTTCATGGAAATATTACGGAGACAAGACTGCCGAAAATTCGCACAATAACAACCGACACAAGTGACAGATATATAGTGACTCCACTGATCAAAGCAAACTACTGAACTGAACAGAAAAAATAGAGGCTTGCAGACTAAAACTTTCGGCGGATAGAAATCTAGCGGAAAGTAAGATCGTTTAACTATTCGCACTGCAACTGCTGTACTCACGCGGGAAAATTCACTGAGAAAAATTATTACGAGTACCGAACACGAAACTAAACTGCGCTTCAAATACACGAGTATCACACGCGGTCCGGAGAAAAATATAATTTCCGATAATATGTCGAGAGACATTTCACAATGCTCAATTATGGCGACACAAGAATCTAACTATGAATTTTTCCTGTTTGTATATCCTCTACACTCCCGCTCACACCCGACGGCTGGTCAACTTCGAGTAACCGAACTACCAGAAGTTCCGAACCTTCGAGCTCTCCAAAGTTTTCCTTTTCCTTCTCGAAGACAAAAGAGTGGCTTCGATTTCCAAAATATCCCCACATTTTGGGATTCCCAGGTGAAAGTGGCACAAGCACATAAAAGAAAATGCCGTTATTGACCTGAAAATCAATGATAACAATAATAATTAATGAGGGTACTTGGATTTACCGGTTAATTCTGCCGTGCTAAGGAGGAACATTCAAGAGTTGCCAAATTTCCTTCGATATGATGTTTATTTTTGAGGAAAGTTATGAATATTTTTCAGATGAATTTTCCAGACCTTCAGATAAAGTTGCAAACAAAATTATCTGAAAAACTGGAAGATGAATATTTATAAATTTTCCCAGAAATTCGTGATTTACCGAAGGTAATTTGGTAACGCCTATTCGGCGTTTTTCCTTAGGACGGCAGAATTCGTCTCTCACTTTTTACCTCTTTCCTTTTTCGCTGAAAAGTAGTGAGGGTCCGTCCAAAGATTACGTGACCCATTTTTCCCGACTTTTTGACCTCTCCTTCTCCCTTTGTCAAATAGATGTCATTTACTTCCAGGCACCACCCCCCCCCTCCGAGAAAAAAATACGTAATTTCAAGAGTGCCTCCTCTTTTGCGTAAATACGGGCCATAGCGCACCCTTGCTATAGGTGTATCACATACTAGGGGGCCCTGCCCCCTGACCGCTACGCGGCCCAACCCCCGGGAGGGCGCCTTGCGCCCTTAGGCCCGCTTCGCGGGCACTATACGCATATGTATAGGCAAAAATGTTCTTCCATTTTAATACACCATTTTGTGTTCGAGCTGCATCGATTTCAAAATTCTTGACGTAACACTCAGATTTGTAAATGATGAGGAATAGCTGGATGTACATAATTTCACAGTTCACTTACTGGAGAAAGAGGGTTATTCAAAATCGGCGATTTTACCCTACGCTTGGATTTTGCCCGGAGTTGGATATGTTGTTCCCTATCACAAGACACGCCTTTTTCCGGCATTGGCAAGTTCACCCGAAATTTTTCCCGCGCGCTACAGCGTTGCCAAGTTGAAAACAGGCAAATTCCGTAAGTGGCATCAAAATTGAGCTATGAAGTTGCGGTTTTAACGAAAATTCTCTAAAAATTACGCACTTTTAGGATATGACCATGTTTTTAATGTCGCATTAATTTTAACATGCATTATTGCCAAATTTCCGATTTTTAAATTCGACAAATGCTACATATTCGCAAATACCCAAAAAAGCTATCTTCAAATTTGAATAAAAAGTTGTCTAATCGATAGTTCGTTCGATTCCGCATCCATCGATATATTATAGCTCGCTGGGAAACTTTTGGTTCGCGAGATATCATCATTTTTGTGAACAGCTTTATGGAGCGACGACGCTTTTTGAGTCCGGGCGGATAGAAATTTTAGCCTCCAAAAACACCGGGTAGCATTAATTCCATGGTTTCCTATGTAATTTTTGGCGCTGAATCCGAATTTGACCATTTCATAAAAAAATTGTCACCAAGATGTTGCCAAATTTGGCAAAAATTGCTTAAAATCGGCCTTTTTGGCGGATTGTAGCCTGTGACTTGCCAGGAGTTGATCAGACGACAAAATTGGTTATTTCCACAGTTAAAACTCGTTAAACTATCTACAAGCTGAGTCAAATTCTTTCTGCTCACGGTAAAATTAAACGCGCGACAAGCAGCAAACTGAAAAAAAGACACCAAAATTGGCGCTTTTTGCGGTTTTTGTCGTAAGTTTCTTGTTTTCCGATTAAGAGAATGTTTCTTGACTATACTAATGAACAACATGAGCAGAATTTAATAAAATTGAACAATAAAATAAGATCGAACATATTCCAATGTTGCCAAGCTTAAACAAAATACTTTAATTTTCGCTGGTTTTTTCGATATTATTGTCCTATATTCTTTGTTCACCTCTTATTTTTAAATTGTATAAATGTATCTCTCTTGCAAAATAATACACTTCTGTAGAATAATTTAATTTTCAACTTAGATATATACTAATAACTAGGGTATTTAGTTCAGAGAGGAAAAATTCATAAAATAGTGAGTTTTATCGAATCGTGTCAATAAACCACATTTTGAAACAATAATGGAAAATTTTCTGTTAAAAATTAATGAATAAAATGTACTCCTCAGACAGACTTCATTAAAACAAGACAAGACGCATTGCAATATTGCCAAAATTACGTACAAATCGTTGAATTTTGGCGGTATTTGACCGTTATTATTCATTACCCTATATTTAGAATACAATTTTATTTTATAATTCTGAGATAATGGAGTTTAATAGAAAAAAGTAACGACACCAAACTGAAGAAGACGCCCAGGAAAGGACAATAAGGGGCTTAAAAAGGAACAAGGGCGCTCTAAATTACTGAGGACCTGTGGGTGGACAAGGGACTATGGCGGTTAGGCGTCGCGGGGCCCGAGAGACCGCTGTTAAAGCGGCTCTTTATCTATATATGTAACAATACAATAGTTTGTCGTTACACTCGGCGTAATTAGGATTTTCCTAAGAAACATTCTCTTAATCGGAAAACAAGAAACTTACGACAAAAACCGCAAAAAGCGCCAATTTTGGTGTCTTTTTTTCAGTTTGCTGCTTGTCGCGCGTTTAATTTTACCGTGAGCAGAAAGAATTTGACTCAGCTTGTAGATAGTTTAACGAGTTTTAACTGTGGAAATAACCAATTTTGTCGTCTGATCAACTCCTGGCAAGTCACAGGCTACAATCCGCCAAAAAGGCCGATTTTAAGCAATTTTTGCCAAATTTGGCAACATCTTGGTGACAATTTTTTTATGAAATGGTCAAATTCGGATTCAGCGCCAAAAATTACATAGGAAACCATGGAATTAATGCTACCCGGTGTTTTTGGAGGCTAAAATTTCTATCCGCCCGGACTCAAAAAGCGTCGTCGCTCCATAAAGCTGTTCACAAAAATGATGATATCTCGCGAACCAAAAGTTTCCCAGCGAGCTATAATATATCGATGGATGCGGAATCGAACGAACTATCGATTAGACAACTTTTTATTCAAATTTGAAGATAGCTTTTTTGGGTATTTGCGAATATGTAGCATTTGTCGAATTTAAAAATCGGAAATTTGGCAATAATGCATGTTAAAATTAATGCGACATTAAAAACATGGTCATATCCTAAAAGTGCGTAATTTTTAGAGAATTTTCGTTAAAACCGCAACTTCATAGCTCAATTTTGATGCCACTTACGGAATTTGCCTGTTTTCAACTTGGCAACGCTGTAGCGCGCGGGAAAAATTTCGGGTGAACTTGCCAATGCCGGAAAAAGGCGTGTCTTGTGATAGGGAACAACATATCCAACTCCGGGCAAAATCTAAGCGTAGGGTAAAATCGCCGATTTTGAATAACCCTCTTTCCATTTATTATGTTATTTATAAATACTTAATTTAAACAAAAAAATCGGATTTCGACCGTTAAGAATTAATAATGTTTGGTCCGTCCCGACGCGACGCAGCGTCTGCCTTCTCACTTTGTATCTGCTGTTTATCTGCTGTAAATATTGATAGAAATTCAGCAATCCAGTAAATTGACCTATGCCACAAATCGAAGCCGGAAGAATGCAGGAAAAATTGAGTTAAACCTTATACCTTGGACCTTGAACCTTGAACCCTGAGCGATGCACCGTTCCTCAACTCTTCGAATGAGGAGCCCTTCACGAGCTTTTCCATTGTTTCATTGTTTATTCGAGTCACTCAGGTAGAATCCCACACCTTGACGTTTCTAGCGGAAACGACATATCTCTCACGCTATTAACATTGGACTTAAGTGACATGAGCTTTAAAAGCTCTACAACATTAAAAGTTCGGGGTTTCATAATTTTTTGCACATCTACATCTACTACATGAAAAGGTAACTAACTTTAGGTCTAACCGCAACTGCTGGCACCTAATTAGTTGGAATCTAAATAAATTCTTTTATCAGATTGCTCTAATTTTTAAATTTTAAATGTTAATCCTTTATATTTTCAAATTTTAAATTGATGTAGATGTAGAGCAATCTGATAAAAGAATTTATTTAGATTCCAACTAATTAGGTGCCAGCAGTTGCGGTTAGACCTAAAGTTAACTAACTTTATATTTAAAGATATTATATTGATTAAAAAGATAAATAAACCAAATTGTAAATAAGTAAAATTTTTAAAATTTAGATAATCTTAACAATAAAGATATAAGTTTCTGTTAAAAACTAGGAATAGATACCCTACTATTAAGGATTAACACAAATCATTTACATCATTATCATTTTACATACATGTAAAGATCATCCTTATCGGTCCGGCAGTTCGTCAGAAATAGTGCTTCCAAGATTTTGCTTGTAGCTGTATAATATAGAGATTGATTCGAATAATTAAATGGGTTGAATATAATGTTAAGCGCATAGGAAAAATCTAGAATCCACTCCTTCTCTCACTAGTGCGTTGCCTATATAGAAAAAAAACCCTTGCATTTTATGATCGAAATATGCCGCTTTCAGGGCTCATTGGTGGTGCCTTCAGGAGAAATTTTGGAAGGGCAACACTCGGGGGCTCGTGACTGGAGCGAGTTTTTTTTTTTTTTTTTTTTTTTTTTTTTGTTTAAATTCAATTATTTTGCATCAAAATACAATAAATTACAGGACTAATTACAATAAATTACTGGAGCGAGGTGGCGGCCGTTAAAGTCCACCGATTTGGTTTTTTTCAAATCGCTGTCCTTCGGTTACTATTGCAATCCGATCCAAATCAATTCTATGGTTCTGATTTGGATCAATTTTTTTTTAAATGAAAGGTAATTTCCAGGAGAACAATTTTATTCTAAATCAATTTTCTCATTAGACTTACATTTTGTTTATAAATGGAGAATTGGCACGCAAATTATTTATTGCCTCATCTGACAGTGCTTCAAGAGCTGATTTCACAG